GAAAACAGGCTACCTGTCTGAGACTTTGCGACCACACTTCCAGCTTTGTTCAGAGAGACCAGGTCTTGCACTATCACCCTGCATGTGTTGTTACCAAGCAGTTCCTTTCGAACAAACATGACTTCATTAACCAGTTTCAGAGAAGTGTGACAGTGATGCAGCAGCCTCACACATTTCACGCATGCGCGGCACACGTTTCCTACCCTGTTTGCTTAGTGACAGGTGAGGGAGTGGGCAAGGTCCCCAGCGAGGGGAAGGGGACCCATGAGTTGGCTGAGGATCCTGGCAGGAGCACTTGGGAGCAATGCACAAGCAGCCAGGCTGTGTGTCCACTCATGGAGCTTTTATTGGAGAATGAGAATAAAATTCAAGTTAGATCTGCCCATACTCCTGTCCAGACTGAGGCACCCAGGTGAAGAGAAGTGCTGCCGAGACCAAGTTGCTGCATGGAGCTGCAGTGAAGTGCATGGGAATGAGATGGCATTTCTAGTCAACACATGTCCACGTCTGACTCCTCATCTGGGTAATCATAGCTCTGCTTTTTACAGAGGGTTTTTCATGCTGAAAGATGTCAGAACACATGCAGACGTAAGTTTTGGTCATGGTTTTGAGACTGTCAGAAGCAGCAGCCTATGCTTTCTTGTTAATCCTCTTGTAGGAGGGAATTTCCACAGGAGAGAGAGGGTCCTAAACCAGATATTTTACTTGGCTGTTATCAGCCCCCAAAAAAGTTGGTGAACCATATCTTGTATTACAACCATACGGAAATTTTAACAGAGCTCATATTAAAGCAAGAGCATCCAGCGGAAGTTGCATATAATGATGGTGAAGTTTGCCAGGCTTTTACAAAACCGTAAGCTTTTGATAATCACTTCAAGGAAATAATGTTTTTTAAGGCAGCTCAACATTGCCAGACTGCAGATTCTTACTGAAGAAAGTGCTGCTTGTGTAAGGATTAGCATAGGTTGTGTCGTTAGGAACCAAACATCAGTTTTCCATCTGGGAGCAAACTATCCCTTGGAGAACCCTTGCCAGGTGAGGGATGTCACATGGGCAAACTGTGGAGTTACCTTGGGGCCCACTGTCCATCCCTCCATGAGAAGGCTGAAGGAAGCCGGACCCAGCTTGCTGCCCTGCTGAAAAGATGTGAGGCAAGAACAGACCCTCTTCATTTTATTTGTTCCGGAGTAATGAGTTCTAGCCATTCTCTGGGAGTGCGCTGGGATATACATGCAAACTGCCTTATTTAGTTTCATTCAGGTTTTCCAATGTAAAAAGAGCATTTGAATGAGAAGATGTTTCATTAAGTTACTCACCTTAACAATGTTGTGTTTGGGTTTGTGGTTTGTTTGTTTTTTTTAACATGAGACGTCTTGTTTATAGAAACCCTCTAGATAGTTACACTATGGAAATGCCATTTGCAGTGGTATAAATTCCAATTTTTCCGGACAGTAAAAAAACCCAACTTAGTAGTAATATCAGGCTTATGCTGTTACTCGCTTGTAATATGGAATGAAATGCCTATCTCCACTGTGCCAGCTCTGTTCAGGTCTCCACTTACACTTCTTTATTTGCATAAACAAAATAATGGCTCACATGGTAAAGCCCACAGGAGAAAGCCTGTTGAATACATTTCTTGTATGTGAATCAGAGAAGGTATCTGAGTCCTGGGTGCTCATGCTCTGAAGAGATTTTTCTAACTCAGTTTCCTCCCTGAGTGCATCCTCTGCAGAGCGATTCCTGCGGGCGGGCGGTAGGGACAAGCGACCACTGTGTGTAAGGGAAGCATTCACTTGAAGCACTAGCACTGGAAATGCCAGTGTGTTTGTCAGCATCTCAAGCCACATGAGGTCTCTGCTCCTTGTCTGCTGTGCTTCTGTCCTCTCCCCTTCCCACAATTATCTTAGGAATAAGCAGGATTCACGTTACTCTTACTCTTTCCTCAGCTTCTCAGCTTCTTTTTTAGACGCAAATACATTCTCAAGTCACCCATCAACATTTTTGTACCTATCAAAGCACCTTGATTACCAAATTTAAATAGTCCTTCACTCAGGTTTGCAACTGAATCAAACTGCCAGTCCTCGGTGGAAAGGCCAAGCTGTAGAATTATTTTGCATAGGAAGGATGAAATTATTTTTCCTTTTGCTGTCTTTTGAGGCTAAATTCTTTGCAACCACGAGGGCCAAACAAGCACTGAATGGACACAAATACAGAAACTGATTATTCTTTCCAAGGAAGAGAAAAATGCAGCTTTGGTGAATTTGCACAGCCACTGGTTTGAAGTTGGCCACATGCTCCCACTTGGCATTTCTCACTGCTGATCCAAATCCAGCTCTGAGATGGTGGGCTGGCTCCCATCATGACCCGTCAGACCAACAGCTGCCTGCACCGGCTGTCCAGGCACCACAGGACACCAGCCCACGTCCCCAGGAATCTCCGCTATTTCGTTATGCATGGGGAGCCGCTGCTTGGAACAGGGTAAACGCTGCTGGAAACACTCAGTCACCCCCAAGAGCATCCTGAAAGCAAGTGTCACTATTTGAGGCAATTGCTGTGGCATGTCATCAGATGCTAAGTTCTGTTGAGTGGGGAGTGTGTAAGGGTTTACAAATGAACTCTTTAATTTAGTGCCAACTTTTCCTGTCTTCTGCCCTTTGGCTTTAAAACCTGCATGTCTGTTCCCAACACTTAAGAGTCACAACACAGGTTCCACCTCGGGCAAAGCAGGGTGCCCTGTTCAGCAGCTGCCAAGCAGCCATGGGAGCTGCCCGGCAGGTTAACACCAGGACAGACAGACAGGCTGACACACTAGGAAGGGCTGCCAGCCTGACAGTGAAGCCACGAAGGACATGGTTCTTGAGGACTGGTGAAAAATAAAATATTATTGAAACTGAAAATAATTTTAGTCTAAAGAAATGTTGATTAACAACATGAAAACATGGCAATATACAGTTCTTTTAGGAAATAACATGTTGTGAGACATTCTTGAGGGAAAGCCTGGAGACTATAACAAAGCCCTGTATATATCAGCAGAACAGGCACCTATTGGCCAACACCCTTCTTGCCTCCATATACATCCTGGCAAGGCAATTTAGACTTCACCACCTCTGAGTGCTTGCATAGAGTTTTCATTCTTAACCATGAAGTTTTGCATGGACTGGGTGAAGAGCTGTATTTGTGTAGCACATTTGTGTGGACCTTCCAGCCCTTACATGAGTCTGCCATCCATCCTCTCTCCCACACTGAGCGAGACCCCCCTGTTTACTTGCTTACAGTGAGCTTGCACTCCCAGTGCCAGAGAAACTGGTCACAGCCCAGTTCTCATCCCTGGCCTGCCAACTGACCACCCCTGACTTGGAAGGCAAGGAAGGGAGGTTGGTCTCCGAAGTCCACCAGTCCCTGAGGGCCTCCTCCAAATGTACCCAACAGGCCACAGTCATCCAGCCTGGGGAGCTGCCCTGATGTCAACCAGTCTAACTTGCTGGACCAGTGGACATCACTGTCTCATTGTTAGACTCAAACTGGTGTCTCCACTGGTACAAGCTCCATAAAATTATTTTGATTGTCAAAATTTGACTATTAGTTCAGTATCTCCTATGAAGATAATAGAAATACATCAAAAAAGAAACATGGTAGAAAGTGCAAAAATGAAAAATTCCTCTGGAACAATTTCTATTTACTGGGTGGGTGGTGGTGGTTGGTGAGTGGTCACTAGTATAGTCCTTAGCAAAATGGCAGGTGGTATATGTGTTAAGAAAGGCCTGGTTCCTCAGCTAGCTAGGGCTTGAGAAACAGCTCACTTGCATGATTTCTTTCTTGACCACAGATTGCAGCATAAGCGGTGTTTTACGGTGACTACTAGTAATCCTTACAGAACAAAACAGTTTTGGGGACCTCAATGCAAGGAAGACATCGAGGTGCTGGAGAGAGTGCAGAGAAGGTCAACAAAGCTGGTGAAAGGCCTAGAGAATAAGTCTTATGAAGAGCAGCTGAGGGAACTGGGGCTCTTTAGTCTCAAGAAAAGGAGGTTGAGGGGAGACCTTATTGCTCTCTACAACTGCCTGAGAGGACATTGTAGAGAGGTAGGTGCTGGTCTCTTCTCACAGATAATTAATGATAGAACAAGAGGGAACGGACTCAAGCTGCATCAGGGTAGGTTTAGGCTAGATATTAGGAAAAAATTTTTCACTGAAAGGGTTGTCAGACATTGGAACAGGCTGCCCAGGGAGGTGGTTGAGTCACCATCCCTTAATGTCTTTAAAGGTCGTTTAGATGTGATGCTTGGAGATATGGTTTAGGGGTGTACTTGATAGAGTAGGGTTGGTGGTTGGGCTCGATCTCAAAGTTCTTTTCCAACCTGAATGATTCTATGAAAACAAGCCATCAAAAGAAGAACACCTCTAAAAACGGAGTGAGTTTTTGCTGTCCTGCTTCTAAGCTGTGTTCCCATTGTGATTTTTTGATATGTTTCCCCCTCACACCAGCAGGCAAGGAACACGCCTGGGTCTCAGTGAGGTGGACAGGCAGAACTGCGGCTTTTCTATAACAGTAGAACAAGCAGCTGAGATGTTGTGAGTAAAAATCTGAGAATGGGTATAAACATTATTCACCTTGAACAAATAACAAATAAATAAAAAGAAGGAATCAATACAGTGTTTATATATAAACAGCCATCTACTTTAAAAGAGTGTGCATCAGTTGGCGTGCATACAGTCAGCATAGGTTCCCCCTGTTTACTTAGGCTGTGAAAGATTTTGTGTGCTGTTAAAGAATTCTCAATTTTTGCAACAGTTCTGATGAAAAATTCATTCAAGACCACTCATTCTGGAGCCCACATGTGGGCAGTCCGTTCCTGGAGATTTTTAAAAACCTGACTTGACAAGGTCCTGAACAACCCAATCAAACGTTGAAGCTAGCTTGCTTTGGGTGGAAGGCTGGAGGAGATGGTCTCCAGCAGTCCTTTCCAACAGTTTTTCCTGTGATTCTGCAATTACTACATGATGCTGCCTGGCCATCAGATGAAGGGTTTAGCTTTCTGCCACAATTGGCTGCACACTGGATATGTCTGTCTTTGCAGAGTTCCTCTGGGAGGATGCCCTTGCCTTCTGGCAGGCACTGCCTCTTTTATAGTGGCAGCTCTCAACCCAGGCGCGCCTGAAAGGCGGGGACATGGACTGCAGAGCATGACTCTGGGCTGCACTCCTTTGCCGGCACACACACAGCAAGGACTTCAACTCAGATCTGAAGCTCTCATTCAGCCAACAGTAAATGAAGGGGTTGTAGCAAGTGCTGCTCATGGCAAACCAGTGAAAAGCAAAATACAGAGCGTTGCTACTGTGGATGGCCCTACAGGAGATCAACACCACGTAGCAGTTCAGGGGGAACCAGCATACTGCAAACACAATCACCACCACCATCAGCATCTTCAGCGTCATCTTCTTTTTCCGTTGATGGGCATAGTATTGCTCCATGGTGAGGTCGCCGATGGCATTTCTCAGCCAGAGCTTTTTGGCCACCATCGTATATGTGATGGAGATCACAAGCAAGGGCAGGACATACAGGAGAACAAAAGTAGTCAAGTCCAAATACTTCCAGAAAAGATCAGCAGGAGGAGGGAAGCTGGGGAGACAGACCATTCGTATTGTTCTGTTTCTGAAGATCAAAGAGAGAAAGAGCTGTCAATTCCACTACCGGATGCACACAACACCTGGAGGACAAACATCTCAGATGTCCTTACAAGTTTCAGTAAAGGCACAGGCAGCAGAACTCATTCAGTAACATGGGAAAGGGCCACTTCCGTGGAGAGAATTTTGCTTTAAGTTTGACCTTTGGCCTCAACGAGGATATTTTGAACACATCCCCAGGAAAAGGAAAAAAAATAATCCATATTGACATTTGTGTCCTCTAAGGGCAATGAGCTCCTCTCTTCTGTGCCTGCCTCAAACTACAGGGCTGAATCTCTGAGCCAAAATCAACTAACAAACCAACCTGAAAGCTATTCCATTGATTTTCTTTGTCCTTTCATGAGAAACACACTGCCTAGTCAAAGAGAAGGAAGCCTTCTCTGTTTCTTTTTTAATAACACAGATGGAGAGATGTGTAGAATCTGTGGGGCTTTGATTAAGCTGCATATGTCATATAAAAAAAAAAAAAAGCACCATGTAAATGTCTTACCCGATATAAAATCTTGTCAAAGTCTGATAAATGGCGTGAGGCAGTGAGAAGCAGCTGGCCATAACCCAGATGATAATGATGCAAATCCCTCCTTTCACCATGGACATGCGCGGCTTGAGGGGGTGCATGATAACCTGCAGAGAACAACCAATCCTGAGGATTTACAATGTCTTCAACTGAAGAAAACAAGCCGCAAACTTTAGGAAAAAAGAATATATCTTTGCTTTGTCCATGTCCAGGAGCAAGGATTTCACACCGATCACTAAGAACCAGAATGTGTGCTTTCCAGGTCAGCGAGGAACACTCAGCATGGACATTAAGTGGGGCACAAGTTGCAAGCCAAGGGGCTGTTCTGGCTTGTACTATAGGGAGCACAAAAAGTCTCCTAATTACTACAGACAAAGTCTCCCATACAGGTGACAGCCACGGGGCTCACAACACTTGGCATTTGGTGGACTCACAAGACAGAGTGACAAGATGCTTGAGAGCCACAGTTGAATGTAATCCTTGGCCAACATAGCACTAACAAACTTGAAGGTTGGTCTCTTTTACATTGAGAGTTTACCCTGTGCAGTCCTGGCTGCAGCATGGTGTACTCCACATGTGTTTGCTGCTAAGGAGGGCTGCTTTATCTGACAACGTCTTGGTCACTCTTGGAGCCGCACGTTGCAGTTCGAAGTGCTGCAGCAGCTCTGCATCCCTCCAGTGTTAAAAGGCAGAAAGGAGAGACCCATTTTACAGGACTTTGGAGGAGAGTGTAAAGGCTGGAAAATGCAAGGAGTTCTGCAAGCATTAAGTGTGATTGCTGGCCCAGTGCCCTGAGCAGAGAAACACGCTCGGTGTCACCCATCAGCTTGACTTCAGAGATCATGACGGTTAGCTATCTGTTGAGCCACATGCACTATGGATGATTATATTGGGCAATGAAACAATAATTAAAAATAGACATATCATGTCATCCAAATAATCTCTTGTCTGATGAAGTCTTTGGTATTTTACACGTGTCTTTTCTAGTCTCGTTATAAATATCTACTTAATCAAGCTTCTATGACTCCCCTGGAGCATCTGTACCTCTCAGGACTAGCAATGTTTTTGGAGGCAAGTGTTGAATTTGCTTTGCTTAGTGACATCTCCTTACTTCTATTTTTATCTCCTTGGGTCATACTAGCTAATTCCAGTTCTGAGGAATCTACTCCACTGAATTTAAAGGCAGGTATTGTGTTTGCCCTTAATTAAACAAACACTTCTGGATACCTAGTCATGCCTTGCAATCAACCCAGAAACTACCAATTAAAATGAATCGTTATCAAAATGCTTTGCTTTCAGGAGCTGCAATGTTGCACATAGAATGGGCAGACTACCAAATTTTTTGTGGTAAAAAAGACAGAAGTGGATGATTTATAGTCTGGCAGTCACTGTAATTTTCTGACACCAGATGGAGCACATCCTAGATGATCTGAGAGGAATCCATTATTGTTTTGAACTTCATCTAGCCATGTCATTTATCATATGAGATTGCTTTTCAATAACAAACCTTCCAGTGACTCCGGCACTGCAAGAAAAATACAGTCTGCCTGAGAGCACACCTTGCAGGATCTGCTCTCCCAGTATGCAGCATTTATTAGCTTAAGCAAAAATTACCAATTGTATTATACTTCAAGGAAACCCTTTGGTTTGCACTCATTGCTTGACCTGTAAGGTTTTCCTGTTGGTATGTGCCAAGAAGTATCCAGGTGGGGGGAGCAGAGGAGAATTTCTCACCTTAAACTGAACATCCTAACATAGTTCTCACTGCTTCCAGTCTTAGGCATCCCAAAATAACAGGGCAAGCCTAAAAACTGTAAGACTCTTCACAAATACATGCCGAGATAATGCATTGGCTGGCTGGTGTTTGAATTTCAGAACATATTCCCACTGTGCTTTCAGGACTGTACTCCCCAGAGTGGCTGAGGTGGGCAGGTACCCCTGGAGATCACCTCGTCCAGCGCCCTGTGCCAAGCAGGCTCAGCTAGAGCAGACTGACCAGGACTGTTTCTGGTCAGGCTTTGAATATCTCCAAGGACAGAGACTCCACAACCTCTCTGGGCAGCCTGTTCCAGCATTTGATCACCCTCACTGTAAAAAAACATGGGTTTTTTTGTCTACTGCCGTGAAAGCTAGAGTTCTTGCCTCTATTCCTTGATTCCTAAGACAATGCAGGTTTCTAGGCACTGGAATTTGAATAACACTATGTATTTAGCGCCTTACTCTCTAATAAACGTAGGGGTGATGCATACTACATACCTGATGCCGATCCAGAGCGATGGCAGCGAGGGTCAGCACAGACACGTGAACGGAGCAGTACTGAACAAACCGGCTTATGTGACACATCAGCTTTCCAAAAACCCAGGTGCTGCTCACAAACCGCACCTGAAGAACAGACAAAATTGGATTAAAAAGTGTACATTGTCTGAAGAGGAGCAAATAGGCTTCCCAGGAGTATGGCAAGGAAGAAATGCTGTAGTATAATTTCCTTATGCTTTGTGGATGCATTATACTAATTTTTCTGGGGAAACCATGACTATGCAAGAGGCTCTGAGACAGAGCTGAGATTTATTATACCGTGCAAACAAATCCGCTTGAGTAGCGGTCTGTGTGTATGTGCTTGCATATGCGTGTGTACAGGTACAGGTGTTACATGTAACATGGCCCTTCTGGAAAATGTAAAGAAATCTTAGCCTAACTCCTGGATGAGGCTCTGCAGGGAAAAACAGTATCTTGCTTCCTTAAATACAGTTGCATGTTTTGTGGTTGCTGAAAGTTGCATAGATTCAAAACTTAATGAGATGAATTCATGGAAGAAAAAAAACATTGAAGGCATTGAAATAGTGAGGTACAGCTCTGAGTTAGGGACTGCCTGTCTGTGGAGCATTCCTGCTTGCCTGCCCTGTGTCTATACTCTTCCTGGGGTCTGCAGCTACCAGCCAGGCTCAGAAAGGACATGGAGCTGGGTGGCAGGGTCTTGCTTGCACACTGAGCTCTAAGTCCAACTCTCCTCTTCCCACATTGTGTGAGAAGTATCAACAGCAGTTTCAGGGGTGTCAATTAAGTTACACAAACAGAGAGGAAGATTTTACCCTCCAGTTGAAAAAGCAACTCACACTTCACGAGCCGCACTGCTCTCCTCATCGACCTGAGCTCTGTAGGGACAGGAGCCACCTCCACCTGGCCATGAAATCCAGCCGCTGGCAGAGGGGAGGGAGGCGGGGGGTGCACAGGCCCCTGGGACTGCAGTGGCCAGGGCAGTGTGGCATTTCTTACCAGCTCCCAGGGAGGTGTTACTTATTGTGGCTTTTCTGCGGAGGAGATTATTCCGAATAATGGTTGTTGTCTCACTCCCTTGCAATTCCTGATTGTGCAATATTTATTCCAAATTAATGTAACTCATTCTGGAAGCAGATTAAGCTAATTTGAAATAAAGCACATTTACTACAAAACATGTGTCTGCACAGAAAACAGCTAATCTGTTTTCAGTTAATCTAATTAATTTCCCTGTAGAGACAACTCTAGTAGTAATGACTCTGTCGCTTAATGTGTGGCAATGTGCTGTTCCTTTGAAGTTGATGTAAAGCCTTTCCTAGGAGAGATTAGTTATTTAATTGCTTGTGCCTAATGTGTGACTGTTGTGCGAACACGCACCATCCTTTCCCTGAACAGATTACAGGATGAAAATCCCATCAGAGCAAGGCAGAGAAATCCCACCAAAGAAACAGAATCAATTTGAGAAAAGGTGAATCCGAACTGATAATTTGGGAACTGTTTTTGGAAGGCAGAAGAGCGCTATGGACAACTCTGGGCAAGGACTGAAGCAGGAGTGTTTGGGATGCTTTGGAACCAGAGGGCTGTGTTAAATTCAACTACATAGAAAGTCCTATTGACATGTTGTTTATAGATTGTTACAGTGGGGCAAGAAATGAATCCATTTAATTCTTCCCACCTCATTCTTTTAGTATTTTTTTATGTCTTGTATTATTTAGTAACTGAAAATAAACAAAGGACCATCAGCCCCAAAAAGTGCAGTGCCCAAGTCAGAGGCATGCTGACCTGACACGGCTCAGCACAGACCTAGCAGTTTTCCCTTCCATCATCTTCACAAGGACTGACGTTGTTTGTGTCATTTCCTTAAGAAATTGGCAGTTAATTGGGCTTTCTAGTGCCAGACTTGTCCCCATTTCCTTCCCCCCCCCAAAAGACAAATGGGGCTTCGACATCTGTGCCATGCCAGAGTCCTGGAAGAGGGAGGAAAACTGCGAGGAGCAATGGCTCCTGACAGGATGGCGAGGTGGGGGCATGGGTGCTCGGTGCTGCTCCCTGAGCCCTGCCTGTATGCAAGAGGGGTTGGGGAGCGGGGCATGGCTGCAGCTTGTCCAGGAGGCAAAAGGAGCAGGGTGGGGGGGTGGCAAAAACAAACTATATTAGCCTGTCCCTGGCCCATTCAATACACGTGTACACAGCTGACAGGCACACACAGACACCAGCAACACACAGACAAGCCAGATGCTCACCAGCGTGAAGGGCGTGTTCAAAATGGTGATCATCACGTCGGCAATGGCCAGGTTGACAATGAAGAGGCTGGTGGCTGAGTGCATCCTCTTGTTCTTGATCACCACGTGGCACACCAGGATGTTGCCAAAGAGCGAGATGCAGATGATCACGGAGTAGGCTACTATCAGCAGTGCCTTCACTGTTCGGCTCTGGGACTCACCCTCATACTTGGTCCCGCTGTCAAAGTCCCCCAGGTCCTCCAGGTCCACATCACTGTGGAAGGATTGGTTAGGGAAGCTGTACAGCACAGAGAAGAAGTTGGTCGTGTTGTGATTCTCTGCTCTCCAGAAGGGCTTGGAGATGTACTGCAAGGGGAACCACGTGTGCCTGCTCATGGCTCAGGAAGCACAGCTCCAGCGCTGCCCGCGTCCCTGGGCAGGCAGCACGTTCCTCTCCACCCTCCTTCCTGGCAGCTCAGGTGCTGAAGTCAGTGGTTGCAGGAGGGAACACACACACTTGCATTTTAAAAATCTGCCCCGTGGTTGCAAACTACATAAAAGAGTTGATAAATGGGTCCTTCTTCCTGGGCTGCTGACATGTGGGCTGCGCTCCAGGGACTCTCCAGCTGCTGTCCGTTTTCAGTCCCATATGTCCTACATACAGAAGGTGACTCAGATGCTGAAATATCAGAGAGCCCCAAACACTTTCTCTCTGCACCTAGGAAGAAATCCTGGTGAATATTTGCTTTTGGGCACTGTTCTGCTTCTCTCCTGCAACTTCTCCTTGGAAATCTGCTGCATTGTTTTTCCACATAGTCCTTCATCTGTCAGGTGTCTGTTTCCCAAGAGTTTTCAGAGCTTGTCAGAATCAAAAAAGCAAGGGCTGCCTTTCCCTTTTCTTGCCATCCTCAAAGTATCTCTGAGCTATATGCTGAAGCAGCTTTGCTCAGAGGCTGAGTGGTCCCTGCTTTCCCTGTGAAATACACAGCCTGTCAGCTGACACACGGCACAGGAAATAGCCAATAGCGTATCTCTGCCTGGTGTACCCTGAGGTGTGTTGCAACACCACACATAGAGGACGGAAGAGTCTGATGTGTAGATCTAGCAGAGCAGCAAAATACAGAGAGAGTGGATGCGTCTTGATCTCCCCCGTCTCCTCTGTCCTCCTCCTCCTTTCTGGGTACCCAGCACAACAGCTACATGGGGTGAAGCATCTTTACTAATTTGCAGCATCTTTCTTGCTCCCTGTTCCAGAGTTTTAGCAGACAGAGAACATCCGAGGATTTCTGCCTGCAGAGACCTCCCAGCTTTGTGCCTGGTGCTGACCCCTTCTTACTCTTCTTGACATGGCGGGCAGTGTAAAAAGTGAAACAAAACCTGAAAATGAGAACAGAAGATCCAGGGTGCTGCTGGGCGTCCAGGGAGATTCCGGCTGCAGCTCAGCCCCATGCACGCTGAGGGGATGAGCAGCAGCAAAGAGCATCAACGCAGGTGGAAATCCCTTCTCTTCTCCTTCCCTTCCTTTGCAGTCATTTGCAGAGCAGCCTCAGGCTCCAAGCTTAGAGGCTCGGATGCAAAGAGCCCTTCTGTGTTGCCTTGGCAGGAGAACGGGCTGAGCGGGAACAGGTGGGTTTGCATATGGAATCAGAGACAAAAGTCAACGACTCCTTGTTTTTGACAGGCTCGGCATCCCAGCCTTCACTTGGCAAAACTGAATGTCTTTTGCCATAAGTGTTTTTGTCAAATATGTCTTCGGAGATGTCACCAGGCTTCTCTGCCCTTTCTCAGCATCCCCAGCATCTCCTGGCCCACAGCTGGCTCACACCTGCTCCCTGCCCAGGGGCTGAGCCCAGCACATGGCTGGATCAGGGCATGAACTGGCAAGCGGGCCATTTCATCTTTTTCTTCATAGTTTCTGTTGTATAAAGATACCAATCAAGTCAGGATTTTGTTTGGAGGCTGGTAAATCACAAGCACATCACGTACAGCTGCAGATGAGATCAAGAAGCAGGACTCTTGCTACCAAAGAAGAAATGGCAACCATTTTCCTGCAAGCATCTTCTGGAGAGGCAGGCTGTCGGAAATTGCTGTTGATGGTTTGGGGGTGATGTGTGACATCCCGTACATGTATGTGTATGCACACATGCTGTGCCTGCCAGGCGCAGTGGGCGGGTGCCTGTGCCACACTCGCTGCAGCCCAGCACAGCTGGGAGCTGGAAGCACACAGGGCTCTGTCCTCGAGCTGCTTCGCCATGTGGTTACGACATGCTACTCTGCCCGTGTTCCTTTCATTTTTGTCATGCGTTAGAAGCACAACCTGGCAGAACAGCACTTGGATGCATACATGTAAACCCTGTTGTTGTGAGATGCCCCGTGTGCCGAAGGTGTGCGATTCTCATACTACAGTATTCTTCACAGAACTGATTTATTCTGTCAAAGGTTCAAACACTTAATCAATCACATGCTATTTCGCTGCAATTATCCACTTACAAACATTCTGAGCTGCTTCTAGTGTTTGTCATGCATCATAACTTAACATTTGTGCTGGCTGCTCTAAGTCAAACAGAAAAAGCCAAGCAGAAATGTGCTTTTTAGAACACATCCATTTGAATTACGCAGTCAACCTCTGTTTCTATAGAAGATTTTTGGCTTTCTCGTTTTGACACTACTTGTGTCTAAAATTTTTGGAACTTTCATTTTCATTAGGTTATTTAACATTTTCATTTTTGATGCCTTTTTGTGTCGAAAAGAAATGACAAATTGCCGAAATTTCAATTGAGATGGAGACCCTTTTTCTGAATGGATACTGTAGACTAAGTGTTGATGAGGGCCTAAGAAAACAGAGCTATACTATAAAAATTCAGATCCTTCTTCGGTCAGCAGTCTAGCAAATCTAAATACCAAAGAATCAAAGCACTTTAAAAAAATGAAATACATACGTTTGATCGGAGTTTGAGAGGTGGAATAAGAAAAGGTCTGAAATTCTCAGTTAAAATTTCCCAACACTATTGCCAGATGCTAGTCACATGACTCACGTTGTCAGCATACGTAATCCAACTCAATTCCTGTCCCTGACTTTGTAAGGGAGATGAGCCAGATAATTCAGCAGTGTCATTTTACAGTATGTAAAAGTGCCCAGGTCATAGCTGCTCACTCCTTAATTTAAGCTAATTTTAAAGAAATGGCTTCTAAAGACATGATCCATTGTCATTGTGGGACAGTAATTAACGATGAGCCAGATCATGATAGTAAGGGAGACTTTCTCCCCAGGCTGTGTTACCACAGTCTTAGTAGGTATACGTATGAAAATGCCTGTCCCTGTCTGCTCCCATGAAGATGTAAATAAAATGCTTTCATTAATGTGGAATATTGAGCTTGCAAAGCCAAATAAAATTGTCCCTACAGGTCCCTGCAGATTATTATATTTCATATTTATGAGGTATGTAAAGGCCTCGTAAGAGGACATCAGAGAAATACTGAGAATACGAGGTCATTACATTAAACATTTTCCTAATGCAAAAGTTCCCATCACACTTGAACAGTGCATCATTCAGCTTCTTTTCCGCATCTGTCCGTCCTGCTCTGAGCTCCATTTCTGGTGCCAAGCACGGGCCTCTCATGCCAGCGGGGAAAGGTCACAAGAGCTGCTCAAGAAGTGCTGCTCTGAAGCTGCTCCTGCTTATGAGCCATTTCTGCTCCAGAACATGCCAAAGACATCCGCAGGGCAACCCGCAGCAGGACTGGTGGTGCCTCCAGGAGCGTCCTCTGCCCCGCCCCAGACCCCCCCCCGGGTCCACACTGCAGGAAGAGGGAGCACACAAAATATGGCAAAACCTGAAACAAGGTCTTTGGGTGCAATAATGAGATTTCTGGCTTGAAAAAGAGAATGTCTCTGCTTTGCCATTTAGAGTTGAAAGGAGGTGGAGTAGACAGGAAGTTTCAATGCTTGAGACTTGTCCAGAGGGAGAAAATTCAACAGCTAAAATTCCTGAGTCTAAACGAGGAAAAATTCATTCCACACACCTATTGCATCAGACAGCTTTTTGAAAGACGCTTGTTCCCTAGAGAAGCTGATAGTTTATACTTCTCTGTTTTAAATACAGGTTTGAGAACAGAAAAAATGAGAGCTCTATATCAACCCCTAGATTTTTTGGTTTCTCCCAAAGAGTGTGCTATAAATAAGAGTTTGGACAGTCCTTGAAAACCATGATCTGGGAACTTTTTTTATATATTTCCTTTAATGCACCAAGGACACTGTAGTCTTCTTCATTTGCAATGACTAGTACTGCTTTTGTGACTCAGAAAATGTCACAGAAAATAGGCAAACCTATTGCAGCCAGTTATCTCAAACTGAAACGGGATTCTGCTCCTGCAAACAATGAGCTGGGCCTTACATCCTCACTCGTGCCCAGCTGAAGGTCCTCAGGCTGAGCTCCCAGGAGCGATGAAGTGCCCCTTCCACGTTCATCTGCATTCACTCTCCCATCAGGTTTTGCCTCCATGTTGCTAAGAATCGTGACACAGAAAGCTCCAAATGCTCCTAATTATGTGCCAGGACCAATTTCAGACTACAAACCCTGCACGTCACTTGCAGAGACCGTCATTTTCCCTCTGGTCCAGTTCGGAGATGGGATGCAGGCTGCCAGCTCGGTGGGGAGCCTGGCTGGTGCCACTAGCCCTGGGTTTGCTGGGTGCTGGGGTGGGCTGGGGACCACCCTCACAGCGATGCTGCCTCTGCCCCAGCACATACAGCCCCTCTGCTAGATCAGACTGGGGGGGCGGGGGGGGCTTGGGAGCAGCAGTGAGTGCTTGCTTCCTTCTGCAGAAAGCAGCGTCAGTAAACAAAGGGATAAATGAATCCTGTGATGAGAAGATACTCAGCTGAAAAGGGATTGGGTGGAGCACAACCTATTTAGTCATGCCAAAGTACACTCACTAATTACTTTCAGGTCCTCCTTGAAGTGCTGTGCTTTCTTTCCAGTGGAATGGATTGCCCTGAGGTAAATTGACATTGTACAGTTTCAATGTCTTTCAATGTCTTTTTTTTTTCCACAGGGAAAAAAAATTCCTCTTTGTGGGGAAAAATGTGAAAAGGAAAGTGCTGGGCACAGACTGTCTACCTGACAAGGTACTTAATTAAATCCGCCTGAAATAGTATTTGAGCTTTTATTCTCACAGCTTTCCTGGGAGGCAGTGAAATACAATTCCCATTCTGCAGACAGAAGAAAGGGACAGACAGTCAGGGGACCTGTGGGACATTACCCAGGACACTGATGCTTCAGTTCACAGCTGAAAATTACTTCTTTGGATACACTACAGCAAGGCTGGTCCAGTGAAGACAGACATATAAGCCACCTGCAAAAATATCCACAGTGAACTGATGCATGGTGAGGAACTA